TCAAAAAGTTTTAAAAAGATATGCAAGCTGGATAATGTTGACTTTCAAGAAAGCGACACGCTGAAGACATATTAGCATATCATAAATGAAGAAGTCGAAATTGACCATGATGCATAAGCATCGAGGAGTAATGCAGTTCTTTGTTTATTTCCTGAACCTCTCAGTATACTTGTCATAAAGCCGCGAAAGAAAAGGTACCTGTACAACCAATTGCGGCTGTAATGCGACCTGCCAGAAGAATCCCGGCAAAAGGCGCCCGCTCCTTCGAATAATTAATGTTTTCTGAGTGATTTGAAAAAAGAAGTGTGCTTCAACTTCCTTCCAACTTCTCTGAGTTCGATGGTCCCTGCGGAGGCAGGAAAACCTCCGGTAATATTCTTTTATAACGCAGAATTCAAAGAATGCATCTACTTACACAGCTAAAGGAGAAAGTGCGTTGCTAAGAAATATTCATTAAAAGGACTATGTGGGCACGACTGGCGCTAAGAGAAGTATGTGTGTCTTGTGTAATTTTAGCGAGCACACTGAACAAAAGAATGGAAAAGATGCCCGCGCCTCCCAGAAGAGATTCGTGAGGAAATGTGAATCTGTTGCGCAGCGCCCATAACGGCTTTTCGCACATATCATATTTACTCCATTCTACCGTGCCCTCGATTATAATGCGCACTTGGTTTTCACGACAGAAAAAAAAAGTAAGACATCGATTGCGACGTGCACCTATTTTTCTCGTTGGCCCGCAGGATCACATCACTCGAAAGAACTACTCCTTTCGGGAGCAGTCTTCCATTTAAATATGAGGTACGGGGGAAGCTTGCGCCGATCTGACGTGTAACAGAGTATTGCAGTCATTGTAGTTTTACCGTGGACCGATGTCAGCACGCGAACTTGCTTCGCCCCCTTCTTCTCGACGGTTGTGGTGCCAGGCATGTCGAAGTAAAGAGGCGTCTCATCGGCATTCCCGATTTTCCCAAGCAGGTAGCCGTTGTGCCGCAAGTTTAGGACGAACCTCTGAAAACTGTGAGGCTTTCCATCGTACTCCTCCGGAAACTTTATGCATATGCCTGTTCGCCTTCGGAGGGAAAAGACTTTTCTCTTCATAAAGTTAGTTAGCCAGCACCTGCGCGCTTTAAACTGGTTCCGCGTTAGACCTTTTTCTAAGGCTAACTGATCTGATTTGTGGGGTTTAACGTCCCAAAACCACCATATGATTATGAGAGACGCCATTCTAAGGCTAACTGAATAGCCCGTCCTTGGAGCAGTTCTGTCATCACGGGCCGCTCGCTGCTCAAGCACATACTCGTCGAGCAGCTCTCCAATTTGCGGAAACCAACCCTGCAGTGATCCACTGAAGCTTTTGCGTGAAGCTTTGCTGTCGACAATCTTCTGCTTTTGTTTCAGCCAGTCCCGCACGCACATTTTGGGAACTCCGAGCAACCGCGATGCGGCCTGATTTCCGTCCATTTCTGCACATGCGATGACTTTTCCTTTAAAAGCGGCATCGTGGTGCAGTCGAGTTTTTGGAGTCGGCCCTTCCTATGTCGTCGATGCCAATGCACTACAATGTGACGAACTCCTCAGCACACGTACGAAGTGCCGCACATGCGAAACACATAGGCAGAAATGGCCGACGCTCCATGTTGACGCACATAAGGAGCGGCCATTTTGGAAATGCCGATGGCAATAGAATGACCGTACTTATTTTTTTTTTCGGATTTGATTCAAACGCGCATGCGATTTATGAACTTGCTTAACCAGAAAGAAGGTGTGCAATAGATTCGAGTAATTACGGTGAGTAGCCAGCGTCAGCAAAATAATGTTTTCTCCTTTTCCCTACACTATGCAGTCGATGGCGCCGTTCGGCAAACATGGCGTTCTTTTGTTACAAGAAACGTGACATGTGATTTCAGCTCGAGTAGGTAGTGTACCTGTTAAAACATTTTATGGTGTGAACAACACAATGCCTCACAGATGGCAGCACATTATCGAGCGTTTGCTGTTTGCTTGATGAACGCCTCTAGAAAGGCATGATATATTTTCACCTAGATGAACGTGGTTGTTCATTTTTAGAGCTGTTTGAAAGTTCCTGTGTGTTTTTAGCGACGATGGCCGCACTATTCCGGCCTTTTTCGACATAGTTTTACAACCTCTCAAATGCGCCTACAAATCGCCGATTGGGCTTGTTTTTTGCATGACACCTGTTGAACAAAATGCGCTGAGACAACTCCTTTAACAACATGGCATTTGTGTAGTGTTTTTTTTTCTGAAGCAGCTGCTAGCAACATCGTCTCTTTGTGGTGGAACATCTGCTTACTACCCGCGCGACCCGGGTTCGATCTTCAATGGTACCGAAAGCTTTATTCTTTATTTTATTTGCTTGTTTCTCGATTTTTCGTTCACGGACGATTTTTCGCTCACAACCAACTGTGCCGACGCCAACTGCGGAATTTCTGTGACACAAGCTCTTTAACGCTGTCTTGTTAAAACAAACAGCGTTTGGCTCGGGTTTGGTGTTTCACAGCGGCGTCTCCAGCACACATTTTCGTATGCTCTTGAGAGGCGTCCAGCTGGCGTACGGTTGAAACAGGTGTGAGCGGAGGGGAAAGTGGGGCACAGGGAAGAAAGAGAGCAAAGTGTGGGAGAAGGAGCGGCGAAGCACTGCACCTACCCTCTCCTACACTCTCCCGCACCCCATGTTCCAGTTTCTAGGGGCGAATATAAGTGTGTGCGCCCGCAGCTGTTGCTAAATGACAGGGAGTGAGCGAAGAGTGATAGTCGCACCGTGGCCGCTGCGGACAACGCCGGAAGCCTAACATTACCCGACTAAGAAATGCATTCGCATTTAAAGCAAACAAGAAGGTGCAGATTGTAGCCAGCGAATTAAAGAAATGCTTGATCTGTGCCACCACCAATCGAGAACGGAGAAAAGTTGAGATACGTAGAGTGAAAAAAAAATTTAAACTGCATCCCCAACGACTCTCAACGATCTATATGTAGACTTACCTAAAGTGCAGAAAGTGTTCATTCATTGTACATTCATCATGCAACAAGCGAAATAACCGAATGAGTATAGGTACACAATATTATGGCTCGTGTTTTGTTTCCTGCTCAGAATGCCGAATCGTTACAGGAATTCAGCCATGTGCTTGTTTGAAACTTACATGCCCATGACTAGCGTGCGATCGTGGCAAGCTTTCTTGCGTCAATGCACTGGTGTTGTCCTATTTTCACAAATATTCTTTGTGTTTTAATGGTCCGAAGTATTATACACTGGTTGACACACATAAATCTGATTACTTCAGAAGAAGAAAGTGTACTGGCTTATACCAGCTGGACAGATGTCCATCATCTGAAAGCAGTTACTGCAACACGTGCCGGTGCAGGCGTCATTGATGGCAGTTCTGCCTCTCGAAGTGCATGGTCACAGCAAAAACTATTCGCCTGTTATGGTGATTTGTAGTCATGGCAACATAGTAACAGGGCAGTTATTTCTCGTTCCATTTGCGACGCATTTGACTATAGGGAACTACATAAACGTGTTGAGCAGTGACATGGCTGCACATTTATTTGTTCTTGTTGTTATTGTTCTTGTTTTTTTACGGACACAAGACAATGGCTGCTCATTGCCTTGATAGTGCTAGGACACCGGCAGGACTAGAAATTTAAGTGTGAAGAGTGTGCCAGAACACTAGGGTGACTGGCCGCAAAACCACGCAAAAGACGAAGGCACAGAAAGAACAGACAAGACCACACGCTGACTGCCAACAAATGTGGTCCTCACTCAAGGTCGTAAGTATATATGATAATAATAATAATGATAATGCCTGGGGTTTCACATTCCGAAATCACAACGTGGTTATGCGAGACGGCATATAGGAGGACCTGGTGCTCCTTAAGGTGCACTGACATTGCACCATTGTCATGTGTTGCTTGTGAGGACGCTGGTGAAGTAAAGACCACAAAGACATTAAGCGAACGCATCGCTGACAACGGAAATGATAGAAAGGGAAGAGACACTCAAGGAACCCTTGTGGTGCGAGAATCTTGGAGAAAAAAAAGAGAAAGGAAGAGAAGTGGAGGAGCAGCGCGTGTAGGAGAAGCACAGTTCGGCGGAAAAAGCAGCAATGCAGAGAAAAGTTCTCGGGGTTCCTGCTGACAGCTGGTGCCTCGGGGCCTGTGGCTCTGAAGTCCACGGGCCACTAGAGTCTGCCAGAATCTGAGTAGCCACAGGTGCCTGGATGAAAACCGTTCGTGACTCAACATTGGACTCCCAGCGGAACATAGAATCCGACTGAACGCTGCGAGGCGTCGCATCCGGGAGACTCCTTGTTTCTCCGGCCAATACCCATCGTTGAAGTGCGGTTCTTGACTTTTCCTTTTTCCTTTTCACGTGTACTGTGAATGAGTTTTATAACTGTTTATATTTCCATGATCATTGTGTATGACGTGAGTGGCTTATCTAGCTATTTTTCCATGTAATAAATGTTTGAATGTGTTTGTGTGTGCTGCCGAGAACACTCGCTTTGTCTTTCTTATTTCATGAACCTGAGGCAGTAAAGACAATACACATTGAAGAACCATACACGGAACTCAAGCATATCACCTCCACCAACACGCGACTGCCACAACGAAAAAACAAATGAAACAGGGTGGGAATTGAGCTTGTTTGTATGTATGCTTCCATGACTTCGTGCAAAACAGCGCAATAAACCAAGACACAGGAAGAACACACTAAATTCGATCTGCTCTTCCTACATCTTCGTTTCCGCACTCTTTTGCAGACCAAGAAGGGAGACCGCATTACAGCTATATTGACGTTTAATATGTGAGACGTGTTTCCTGGTTGTAATTTTTCGTTTTTATTATACGGATAGACATCACAGTTTGTTTTTTCTCTCAGAAATTTCTGGAATCTCGGGGGATGGTAATTCTTAGAGGAAATGTGTGAGCATTTCATAGAGCAAAAGGTCCCCATGAACCTTCACTTTTTCTTTCTCGTGCAGCTTAGGTGGTGTTAACGAAGGTGCCATGCAGTCACTCCAAGACGTCTGCAACTGTGACAGCAACTGACCTACGTGTGGCCAAGCCCACTGCATTGGTGCCCTCAAAGCAATAAAAGTTGTTCTCACTTGTTTGTTTTTTTTCACTTAAGACTGTATTGTCTCATTTAGTTGGCCGTGACATGGGGTCCTCATTACTTTCATAAGTAATCAAGCAGGGTAAACTTCTCATTATAGAACTACTAGCCATCTTCACGACAGTTTATTCGCCCTTCTGTGTGAATTTGCTACCCAAAGGACTGCTTATATAATGTAACCAATAGGGCATGCCATAATGCTGCATGTAGCTTGCCATAACCGCATAAAACCACAAATGTTGATACTTCATTCGACAGACGGCTACCACGTATCGGTGTCATGGCGAATAAATTGACAAAACCAATTGGGGGAATCCTTAAGCTCTCCCTCTTAGGAGTTGAACAGGTTAGTGATATCATGTCCCGGATGCGTACTTTAAACACTCGGTGCATGAAATCTTTTTGAACTTCCAATGCACCCATTATTAAGGGAATAGGCGCAGTAATGCGTGATGCCCTTTGTAGTGGGTGATCGGCTTCAATCTATGAAGTCTATATGATATTCGCATGTTGTGACGCCCGGTGGCTACGTACGCTTGTACCACGCAATATTACTCCGATATTTACTTTTTTATTTTATTTTAGGGGTAGAGTACAAACACTTCTGGGCAGTAAATTCAAGGCTTCTGTAGTTGAAGAGAAAAAGTTGTAGTTCAACGTGTCAGTGTAGGTGAAAAAAAGTAGCGAATGATTCGAGAGTGCTGAAGCGAGAAGGATTAGTTGAAATCTGCCGAAATTTGAGGCATTCAACATGGCGTCGTTTCGCAAGTGTAGATAGACCTAGCTGGGGAAGGGGATTTGTTGGAGAAAAGTGGCT